AGAGTAGATTGATATGCTGTAAATTATATCCAGCCACAGCTGGGTACTTAGCTCGATGCGTCCCAACAGTAAAATCGTGAATTTCACGCTGATAGATTTAGCGAAAATAATACTTTTATTCGGATTAATTTAACATTTTAGTTTTTTTTTTGTTAAAATTAAGGTTATTTTTTGTTTCACCTTCTTTAAAAGCCCAAAAAGAGGCACTAGGAATTGGTTCGACTAATGGTATTTTGTTAGCAAAACTGTCGACTCCCCCAGGAATTGACGTAGATGAAGTTGAAGAAGGTACAGCTCAGTTTTTCCCAACATGATTGAGACCTTTTAGCACCGATTTTTCATCAAAAAAAATCGAGTGGCGGTCATAAAAAGATTATTTTTTTTCGATTGGCCAGTTTGAATTGTTTATTTATAAGCTGATAAATAATGTAGCTGAAATTTTCTTTTTGTAAACATTTTAATAATAATACATTTTTTTTTTTCAGCGCGACACCTCTGTTTTTGAGTTCGCCAGTGATCACATCTTTTTCGGGCGATAAGCTCTACTTACAGAAAATTTTCGAACAATGGCCCATCAAATTGGAACGAAGAGCTGTGTTCTGGCCTCCACACGCTACATTTATTGCATGTGGCACTGCTGGCATAATTATTGGTACATTGTTTCTTTTTTTATTCAAATTTTTCAACATTTACCGCAAAAATAATTTGAAAATCAATCAAATGAAAGCTTAAGAATTTCGTAAATTCTCGGCGTATTCCATTTTCGTAAATAGGAACGTCTTTTTTAAGCTATGGTAGATCCTGACGTTCTGTATCCTGAAAGAATTACCATCTTAGAGCACTTCCTTGGCATTTGAGGAGCATCATGAATTCTTTTTGAACGTGGCCAGTAATAGATTACAATATTTTGTCCTATAAAAATAATTATTTTTTGCTCAAAAATCGTTTTCGAATATTTTTAATGTATTTTCCTATTAGCACTGCTTCCCCTGTGTTACCGAACTTTCACAGATGGGTGAGGCGCACCGGGGAACTCGTGAAAGATCATCGTTTTTTAGGTATACGGGTGAATTCTCATACGTTCCTCGGTGATGCAAATTTCTCGTATGCGGAAAGTATTAAGAGATGTCCG